GTCCCAAGAGACGTTACCGGAATGCCTCGGCAGGGAGTTTAGGGATTCGGGGCTCAGAGTTCAGCGTCAAGTTAACGAAGGTCATTTTCACTCGTGATGTCCATGAACGTGCTGCACCCCAAACCCTAAACCGTCACAGCGTTTTCAGGCCAACACCCAGCCGCCCCTTGCGGAATTCGGATGCGGTCCGCCTGAGGCTGGATTCTTGCTACCATACGAAGGAAACCATATTATGTACCATAGGTCCCTATTAACAAAATGTTAGCTTAAGACGTTGAATTCCTTAACAAGAACGAAGGACCATCCCTTCAGTCGTTTCCGTGAGTTCAGGTTGTGGGATTTGCGGCGTAAGGTGTCATGATCACAGCTGGCGGGCCAAGGAGCAGAGCAGACAAAGTACAAGCTCAAGAGTGGTCCGATCAATGCTTTGGCAACAAACTGCTGCGTTTTCGCGGTCCGATAGCCCGAACGAAAGGGCCTAAATAGGATGTCCATGCTTTCCCCCGTGACATAGATAGCTGGCCTATCTTCAGCAGCCCTTGCCCGTTCTCATCGTTCTCTGCCGGGAGCATTCCTACCAAAGCCTGTCGAGACGACATGGCAAGCACGAGGATGCATTTCTGTCCCATGCGGTTGCCATGGTGTACAAGTCACACAAGGGCTTCTTACGACATCCGTTTCATTGCTTTGCGTACTGTGGCGACAATTCCATTTGACCTGCTGGCTTCCCGGTTGACGGTTGTCGACTGCCGGAGGATGCGTGATGCATACGCCGGTTGCCAACTTGCCACAATCTCCCCACACTGGCGCGGGCACATTTTGGAGGCAGCAGCTCGGTCAATCTACTGCCGGCAGCACCCAGGTTGCGTAGTGTCCGATCCCGTGCCGGGCCTACGATGCGATGGAAGCAAACGTTCCGTGAATCAAGCTGAGTACGATTGGATGTGCGACGGTCGAAGGGTGCAGTGCAAAACTGGCCAGCTTTGCTGGAAGCGCAACAGAGGATTGTGGAGCGTCAGTTTTAAAAACATCAAGTTCGGACTTCTTGACGAGCTGCTCCTAGTCCTGTACACTCCCTTTCGAATTCACTTGTTCCTGCATGACCAGAGAACAGGCATTCAGTCCACGGGATGCAAGGCTGCTTCAAGGGGTGTTCGTGTGCAATACGCATGTGCGAAAGGTATGTTCTCCTGTGAGGAAGCAACTCGTGCTCTCATCGAACATGTCTCCTCCGGGTCCAGGCATCTTGTGACGGTTGAGCTCGCATCTGAAGCGGCAGTCGGCCAATCTTACAGTAAGTTTTGTGAATCTCAGTCGGCCCGCAAGGCTCTGACCGCCTTTGAAAACCATCCGCTTGGAAGGTTGACACCCTCTGCTCGTGGTAAATTCATCGAGCAGCTGGTCTTGGAGGTGGACAGAATGTTGTATCCGCAGAGCCACGTTACACCGCAAGCGCACAGTGCAAAGCACGATTGGTTCAGAGATCACTTGCGTGTAGAATGCAAGCACACGAGGCTGAGCTGCTCAGACAGAGTCTGGACTTGCAGATTTTCTGCAATCAAGTTTCCTTGTTTTGACATACTCTATTTGGCCATAGACAGCCCAGATGCAGTGTTCTTGCTGCAATATGAGAGAGACCAAGGCCGTACACGATGCGGAGTTGAGACCGGTCATGTGGGCGAGCAAGTACGCATTCGTGCCCCAAGCAGTATTGCAGATTGCAGAGAGGCTGCCCAGTTCATCGTTGACAAACTCGTGCAGGGTGGAAGCAAGCATCTTGCAACAATTCCATTCCATGCCGGCGGTCCTTCCCACCTGCTTGCAACTGGCAGAGCAGATTCTGCTTCCTAGCCGACACCCGCGAAGTCCATCTGTTCAAGTGCATGGCCGCACGGCCATGAAGCCCAAAGGTTCTGGTGTGGCAAGGATCGGTGCGATCTCCTTCTTCCTCTCGCTCTCCCTGTCTCCATCTCTCTCTGTCTCTCTCTCGCTGTCTCCATCGTGAGCTCGTTCGCTCGATTTCTCTGTTTGTCTCTCGCACACTCTAGCCATCCTGCAGACCGTGCTTGCAGATATAGCAGGGGAATCTCTAAAGAAGTTCGTTAGACTGGCCCCGTTCCATTTTGCCAAACCCAGCCTTCAGCATCCTTCAGGAAGACTCCCTCTATTAATTTCCGTTCAGCTTGAAACTTAGCTTATGTAGGGGCCTAAAGAATTACCAATACTATTTTGGGGGCTCCTCATTAGAACTGTAGTGTAATGGGCCCCGAAACCCTGTTTTAATTACTAAGGCCCCTATATTTTGCAGGTCCAGCGAAACTCGAAGCTTGGGCTCATATTCAGCCTGGCGGTGTGAGGTGTGATCTTCGGACGGCCGGGAATTGTCCTGAATCCACCCCCTAAAGGAGCCCTGAAAGGAACCCCTATAGGAAACCCTAAAGATCCCACCCCCTAAAGGAGCCCTGAAAGGAACCCCTATAGGAAACCCTAAAGATCCCTTAAAGGAACCCCCAAAGAGCCCCCAAACGTGAGTTCTGTCTTAACGAACGGCCATTGAGCCAGCGAGCCCCTCAGAATCTCAAAGTTCGACGCAGAGAAGCTGTCAACCGCGCCAGGAGCAAGGCTCACAGCGCGGTCGGAAGAGCCAGGTGAGACGATGGGGGCCTTCCTCAAAACATTGAAGGCCTTGCGTGGCCCCAGGAGAAAGAGAAGGTTCAAGTTTTCAGTACATGTGTAACTGTGACAATTCCCCTTGAAGAACCGGCATGCTGGATTCAGTAGTTCGTTGCCGCAACTGGCTGCAACTGAAGTCATGTGACAGAGTTGTCTTGGTTAGGTCTAATGAACCGACTCTAAACGACAATGAGTGAAAAGTTCAGGTGCTCTCCCATGTGTCAATTGGCTCCGACATTTTTCTTCGAAGCAGGGGTTCGAGACGTTAAGGCTCCTGTGTGCATGGGGTGCATAATATGGACCATATCATTCACTGGGGTTGTTCGTGACATTTCGCTAAGTCCATGGCCACCGGATTTGAGGAAGGCCCGCTCACGTCACAGAGAGCCGTAGAACTTCCATGGGGGTTCATCGTTTGAAGACTCTCTGGACTGCCTTCTCGGAAAGCACAGCAGGATTGCAAGACATGTTCGGAGTTCTGAGAATGTTGACTCAAAGGTCACAACACAGCCAGCTTGGGCCACTGCTTTCCGTGGACTGTAAATGACTCCTCTACCCCTTCGTGAAGAAGGCTAAATGTTGCTTGGGCCGCACACGGTGTGGTTGCAGCTTACGTCCATAACATGAACAAGTTGCAGAGGGCGGTTTTTTGCGATGCAGCCACACTGTCTGCCGCCTGGAATGTGGCAAAGTTCACATTGAAGCATGCACTACAGTTAATGCCTGTAGTCGCAGATGGTCCCCAAAACAAACATTATGCAAACCTGCATGTACTCCACGTAGTCGAGATTCATTGGCTCTCAACCCCGTTTGCTAACTGTCCGTGTGCTCACGTGACTCACGTCATGTACTGTATGTAGAGTATTACAGTCGCCAGGGTCCACTGTAGAGGAATGCCCACAGTGGACTCAAAGCGTTTCACGAAGCGTGGCTCAAGTGTCCTGGGGAAAGAGCTGCCAGAGGCCTGAAGACTCCATGTTAATTACTGGATCCTGAGGGAGACGCGGGTCATAGGCATCTCTCACTGCACAGAAGCACTCTGAAGCTGTCAGTAAGGCGAGAAGTGAGATGGGAGCATTACAGACTTGACTTGCTCTCTTTGCCAGGATGGCGTTTTGGTCGTCATCGACTGGGGGCCGGCACCTTTCGAAAACACGTCATGGCTGTGTCTAGATCACGACGAAAGACAGGATGCTCTGCAACCGTCAGTAGTAGCAGCAGTGCTTTCGGTGTCCTTTCAGGCCAGACACAGTACCTGTTACGCTGCAGAAGCCTGTAAAGCGAAAAGCCAGCATGTGGACCACTGCCGTATCAAGGGGTCATAATATGTCTGAAAGCAAGGCTGGTTGCGCAGATCCAGAGCGATCTACAGCAACGGATTCTTCAATTTGCCAGAGTCCCAAGTTTTTTGCAGGTCATCTGTGGAGCAGGGCTGAGTCTCTTCGTGTTACAGGCAATTTCTGCAACATTGACCCTTTCCATGCTCCTCAGAAATCCTTTGGGCACGATGCTGAGGTGGCGCACATTGTGTCTAACGACTACGAGGCCATTCCTGATGATCTGGTATCGCCCCCAGTCGCCACAGCCAACCAATCTTCAGTCCCAATCCAGTTAAACTCAACCAGTTGCGTAACCCAGCATGCCCAGAATAGGTCGCACTAGACACAGACGTCGCATCCGATTGGATAGCTGAGAGAACATATTATATTATGTATACAGATATGCACGAGTTGCTGCTTCGACGCATACGGGCTTGTGCAAGGTTTTGCTTGATTGCATATTGTTGTTCGAGGTTTTCACAGCATAACTGGAGTAAGTTGCAGTTTAGATCGTAATATTGGCGTCATCCTGTTCTCTGTTGCGCCATGTCAGTCGTTAGGTCTTGTTAAAAGAAATAGACATCGACTGGAAAAGGATCTCGCCATCCATTGTTCAGCATGCCTGGCGAAAGAGGTCTGGAATTGAAGACCCACGCAAATGGCTTCAGCTTCAGGGATGTGGCTTGTTCGTGGGATAATCACACTAACGACAGTAACGACAAGAAATGGACTCTGTCTCATGTATACCTACCTCCAGAGCTCGCACCTTCCAACTTGCAATGTCCGGCCCTTGAATTTGAACCAAAGCCGACGCACGCGCCCCAGAACACAAACCCAAAGCACTTCAGCTACCCAAGCCACTCCCTGCAATACCATGCAATGCCCTATACAATTTTACATTAGTACCGGAAGAACCTGTACATGTACTGCTTGATGCTAGCATGAACTTGTATCATCCGCAAAGTTTCATAGATGCCCCCTGCTTGCACGTTGAGCCTTCAGGTCAAGATGGGCTTCATCGCAAGAGATCGGCAGAATGCCGTCGCCGAAGAAGCTGTTGCCAGTTCCATCAGGCACCTGCATGTATGTAGATGCTCGGAACGAGAGGATGCAGGCAATCCAGGCGGTCGGTTCAGGATTTAGGGTTTAGGAATCTCAGTCCTTGTAACCTGAACCGTCTAAACGCCGCAAACAGGATCATGAAAGCCGGGCCTCCAGGGGTCTGCGCGGGAGCTTTAAGGGTCCTTGTCAGTAGGATCCCAGTTTACGGTCGATGCTGCAATCCCCGAGTTTCTGAAACTCCCATACGAAGGGGGGCTTGCTCTATGTCCCAGACCCTGCACTGAAAGCATCAGTAAGCAGGCTGTAAGTAGTGCTAGAATTAAGAGAACCTCATGTGGAGCATTGTTTGAACCGCTTGCTAAGTCCACTCATTCTAATTAAGTAGATCTCCGCTGCCCTGGCAGTGCCGTCTTCAAGAGCTTGGCATCAGGCACGGTCGCCAGGGGTCCCCTCAGACAAGGGTTTAGGGTTTAAGGTTCAGGAGGGGGTATAATCGAGAGAACCGATGGGGTAATGGGCAGTGAATTTCCTTCCTTGCAAGATGGTTTTGGGATCTTGTCATATTTTCGCATCCGTTGTTCCATAAACACCGTCACTGCAATAGTCCCGTAAGGCTTGAGTTCAAAGACATGGAAGGGACGGGCTTGAAGGCTTCGGGCTTCTAACTCTCCTGAAATGGGAGTTTCAGAAAATTAGGGTACCTTATTTTGGGGTCCTTATAATAGGGATCCTATTATTTAGGGTACTATATTAGGGTCCCCTATTTTCGGAAACCCCCAAATCCCGAAGGCTGGAGAGTTCCTCCTGGAAGCCCTGGGGTTCGATTTGTGCGCTGCACGCCTCTCCCTCCTGCCCCCTAATATAGGGGCCTTCATAATTTAGGGTTTAGGGTTTAGGGTTTAGAGTTTAGAGTTTAATATAGGCCTTACTAAGTCCTAGAATATTTTTGGGATCCCTTATCATAGTTGTAGTATGAAGGACCCCAAAACCCTATTCAAATTAACAAGGCCCCTACATTACCAAACACCATCGGGCATGGTAGTGACCTGGAGGTCAGACCCAGAACGCTTGAAGTTGGTCTTTAGGTTTGGGGTTTCTGCGAATCACACCCTATACACCGCAAACCCTGTCGCTCCCTGCGATTGTTTCTAGCAAGCTGCGCACCAGGTGGAACTGCCACCAGGCGCATCCGAGATGTGCCAGAGCTGCATTTAGGGTTTATGGTTTAGGCTTAGAGTGATGAGGCCTGGAAGTCGGAATGATACTAATGGTGGCAAGAGTCGCAAGAGATGGTTGCGATGATCGCCTGAGGTTGATCGCTTCTATTCGGTGCTACAGCCGTGCTTGCCAGTTATGTTACAGTTGAGAGTGTTTACATCATGCTCCTCTTCCGGATACCCCCCCATGCAAAACAAATTATATAGTTCAGAAATTATCGTCGCCATCTCCGAAGCCCGAAAGGGGGAAAGGCTGCACTGTCAGCACTCAGGGGCCTTCTCCTCGCGGGTAAGAGGCTTCTTTTCTTCGTCCCATCCGGAAACTCCCCCAGCCTCAGGTAGATTTACACAGCACAAAGATGTTCGGTTTCAGGGTTGAGCTCGTAGCCTCTGGTCTACTAACGTAGGATTTGATTTACAATCCTGCACACAGAGCTTGAAGGTGCAGGCCGTTACATTCACCGCCCTCCTAGGTGCTCCCGGCCCTCGCTGAGATCAAGCAGAACTCCGGGACATTTCATGGGTTTCAAACCTTCAGGCGTAAAGAGAATACAATCACAAGTTGGGTGATGGATGCTGGGATTCCAGGTTGCAGGGTCTAGGGTTCACGGGCAGAGAGAAGTAGAGGCTGAAACTATTTCGCTTTGGGACAGGGTGTTGGATGACACAGGACTTGGGTCTTGGGTTGCACATTGGTGAACAGAGAGATTTGCCTCCTTGCACCGAGGGGCTGTTGCCCGGAGGCGCTAGTAGTTTCTTCTTCTTCTGTCATGATCCTGCACGTAACCAAATAAAGCCTCAACACAGGTTATGGGGTCTCATCTGAAGTCCGGAGATCAGCCCTGTCGCATCTTCCGCCCGGTAGACCACATAAAAAGCTCGCTTCCGGAATCCCACCTTTTTTTCCCGTGGAACCCTCTGACACCGCGATGCTTCAGCATGCCTGTAAGAAGAAGCAGGTGTAAAGTTTAATGTAACAGTGATAGCAAGAATAGCATTGTGAGTCATAGCCATACTAACTCACATGCCGCAGCTTTTACTTGCGGAGGAACATTGGGCAAATCCCAGCGTCTTTCGTCTACATTCTCCGCTGTTTCAGCATCTTGGAGGCTCGAACTGCTGTTTTGTTTGGCCCGGATGTGTGAAACACGATGCCCAAGACCAGTCCTCACGGCCCCTCAGTATAAATATTACGGTTTAGGGTTTAGGGGCTTAGGGTTTAGGGTTTAGGGTTTAGGGCCAACTACGCGATGATATACCACAACATCCTGGTCTACTTATTTAGAGAAATATGGCGCCAGCTGCGACCACTAGCCTTGTTGTTTTTGAAGCTTTGGGTTGTGGGGTTTAGGATTTAGGTAAAATAACATACAGGCCCCTCGGAACTACTGAAGGGGTCGGAATAGCTAGTCATGATTCCCTATAGTCCCTATGTAGCCATAGTTCAGTATAACCCCCCAAACCCAGTCTAATCATTAAAGGCCCCCTATGTTGTCAGGGACATGGGCTGTGCCTGGATGAGCAGTACAGAATCGTGGATGACTGCTACCCGCTCGGATCTTAGTTGGAAGGTACTTCTTCAACAGGACCTGAAATCCAGGCGCCTCAGAAAGGGCGCAGTTTGGAGCCCCGGCAACTGCGCACATATTATCCAAATACGTATGTACATCACTTGGGGCCCGTAAAGACAGGCCCGACCAAGCCTTGAACAGCGTTAGGTACTTGGCTTCCTGGACTTTGAGAGCGAAGTCTCCGGAGGCACGCGCCTCCGTGCAGGATTTCGGGAAGTATCGGGACGTCGTACATAAACTGTCGGTCCATGTAGCATGATATTTAGCAGGGTTTAGGGTTTAGGGTTTAGGGGTCCATGTAGCATGATATTTAGCACAAGGGATTTGCCGAACTGAAGCCCGCGTCTCTTGTTGAGAACGCACATTCCGTCTCAGGCTACTTCTGCAGTATCTCCATCGCCCTCATTGATACATCGCTCTACTTGTAGGATCATGGGGCATACTAGTGGTAATCAAGGTAATAAGTACGGAGTTATATGTAATAACCATATTATCTAAAGTTACCGTATCTATTAAGCCTGGCTACAAAGTCAAATGATCCTGCAAGTATCAGGAGTCGAATCCGTTCTGGTCTACTTCGGGATAACAAAAAAGACACCTCCACCCAAATCTCCAAATCCTCACTCTCAAGAAAATTCGTCCTGCCCCGAGCCTTGAAGACTCTAACTAAACCCCAACCCAAAACTGCAGAACCCTGAACCCTCAACATCTGAAATGCAGGCATTGCCCCTCATCCGCAGTGTCCTCTACGGACGCGGTGCCAGTGCCGAGTATCCGGTGCCAGATGCTGAGCAGGCGTGGCGATCGGGTCTGTGGATTTCGAGCAGTCTTTGGGGGTGTGAGGTTTTAGAGGTTAGGGGTTAGGATTTAGGGATTTAGGGGTTTATGGTTTAGATTTGTGAATGGTGTTTTGGGGTTTTGGGGTTTGTGGCTTCAGGATGTTTGGTACTCCTAAGGTGTTGTCCTCAGTAGCTGATGCCCTTCTTATGACCACAGTTGCAATTACAAGCCTCTTGTGATCGTTATCTTGAGCACCAGTGTGGGAGCCTGTCGATGCATGCAAGCTTGCGTAGATAGTTTGCGCCCGTTATTAGACTCACAAACCTTATTGTAAAATTAGGGCCCTTATGTTACTTTCTATGAGGTGTAGGGTCTAGTTACGGGGTCCCGGGTTGGTTTCGGACTGCTGGGATTGAGAGCTACCAGCGGTTTGGGTTCAGGGCCTGGGAAGGCGAGAGTAAGTCTCTTTGCGGCTTTAGCGTTTAGGGCTTAGGGGCCTATAGGACCTAGGAGGGTTCAACTGTTGCATGCATTCTAGATTCTAGAGTCGTTAGGGTGCCTGTTTAGTTGTGGATTCTGGTTCACCTGAGCTTAGCGTAGCTGGACGAGGACATTTTGGATCGAGGGTTTGATATAGCCTCCATAATGCGTATGTTAGGGTCTTTGGGTATGTGGTGATATAGTACCGACATGGCCACCGTAGTATGCATAACAGGTTTGGGGAGTACATGGCAGCTCTTCTTAATTTCTCCAGCTTGAGTGGCTTTCTCGCATAAAAATACATCTATGTATGTAAAATCTGTAAATGTATTTGTATGTGTCATGCAGATGTAATGTATATGTAATGTATTCGTATATGTCTGTGCCTGTGTCTGTGTCTGTGTATGTCTATGTTCATGTAGGTGTGTACATGTGTATGTGTGTGTGTGTTTTATGTGCACATACATTCACCCCTAAACCCTAAACCCTAAACCCGCAACCCTAAACACATATAGTAGATTTGTAGCGCCGGCAGCCCCAGCCAGGTATTGGCCTTGCTGCGAGGCCTCGCCACGCGAGTCCAGCAGGACCGGGTCAGCAGTTCCATGGAGGGGATTCTGATGAAGGAGCTCCAATTCCGGGGTGTTCCTGCAAGAAGGACTCCTCTGATTTAAAGCGCAGAGATGTTTGGAGAGACACAGCTGCGAAGTCTGAAGCGTCTCAGATGCTAGAGCAAGCATCCATCTTCAGAGCTCCGGACCGGTGAAAGGTTGCTTCAGTTTTTCATACGTCATAAGCGAGATGAGTCATCAGGACGTCACTTCGGCCTTGAGAGAGGAAGAGCCCCTCCGAGACCACGGCATGGGACCGAGTATCGCTTCGTGCTGCCCGATGACAGTTGCACTGTATGTCGTAGTCTTGGTGATCACCGGCGGAACTTTGAGCTTTACCCGTTGTTGTTCACGGTCCATGAATGTTTTGGCTGAGAGGCCACGTGTAGGTGTATTTTACCGACGCCTTCCCAGCCCTGCATGCCTCACATGTCGTATTCTAGAATTATCTTCAGGTTCAGCATAAGACGTCTTGCTCATCGTTTAGTGTTGTTTCGGTTGCAAGGCCATGTCAGGGGTTCCAACTATCGCAGTTCCTTCGAAGCCAAGACGGAACTGCTCGTTGTGCTTGACCATGCATCACAGCGATCGCAACTGCGTCCTTGTGCACGAAGGGACAAAGCCCTCCGAAACATCATCCCTACAACTATTTCCGAGGCAGGCTCGTCGACGACTTGCGCTCCACTTTGAGGAGGTGTGCGAGTTTTGCCACTGCCGAGAGGGAAGGGAAGCAGCGGTCGATGCAGAATGTGTTCGTCTGAGATACATATCTGCAAGCTGTGCTCGTGTTGCTCGAGTTGGTTCATTTGGCAAGCCTGTGGCAAGCTTTGTTGCATTCAAGACATGCACTAAGGGCAACCTCATGGTGTCTTTTGTGCGAAGCCATAAATTGAGGCTCCCTTAAACCCTAAACCCTAAACCTGCATCAGCCCGAAGCCATAGACCCTATAAGCCTTAGAGCATTTTTCCAGTTCCATAACCCGGCTCTTCTGGGGTTTCTGGTAAAAAGGCTCAGGGGTTTGGGGAGGGAAGGGTCACTGCGTAGCCTTGCACAGCAAACATCTGTGGCAGTTTGCAGCGTGCTCGCGCACTTCAAGGTGTACTCCTGGAAGAGGCCTGGGAAAGAGCACAATCGAAGCAGCCCAACACATGACGCTGGGATGCTGCGCATGAGGAACCTGCAGCAATGGTTTGTGCATCGTTTTCTCTGGCCCAGAAGAGTTCCAGAAGTAGCTATCATAGCTACTTTGAGGGTTCCCGTTTATTGAGTGGACGGCCATCCGGGGAGCCCAGCCTGTGAGCTTAGTATGCCAGAAGCTCTTAACCTGAGCGTAGTGGAGGTTCATAGCCAAAGCCCCGGGCACAGCGAGCTGTGTTCACAGTGAAGCTGCCTCAACACGAGCCTATTGCCCGTTAGCTTCCAAATTCACAGAAGCCTGACGTCCACACACTTTTTTGAAAGCCTTCAACCGTCAAAGGCGAAGGCCGCTGAGCAAGCACAACTATTAACCCATTTGCTGCAGTATGCTTTTTAAGTAAGCGAAGAAAGACGTCTTTCTGGAGCTTGGGACCGGGACCCGGGGATCCTGGGAAAGGTTCAGGGCTCAGGCTCCTGTGACCGCCTTAGGGTTCATAGGGTTTAGGGTTCGTCGATTTAGGGTTTAGCATAACTAAACGGCTCAGCAACAAAGCAGAAACCAGCACAAGCTTGAGCAACCACGACATCGGCGGTTCTCTGACTCACCGTGACACAACCTCACTGCAGTTCCTTGTCCTCTGCCCACAGTATGTTATAGTATGTTATGATATATTGCGCGTCGTACTGCTTCAGTACGTGCCCTTACTGGGTGCATGGACTGCCTTTCAAGGCAGCCCGGCTCACGGATGTCTTGGTTCGCGAGGCACCTTTGCTGGAAAGTGTTTGATTTAGGGTTTAGACTTTAGGGGATGTGCAGAGTGCGGGGAATTCCGTGCAACATGCACTTCCAGAGTTGGAATTACTTGGAGTACTGTTACTTTACGGCTCGTCTTTATGATTGTAGTAGAGCCTAGCCCAAAGAAGCATTGAACCTGTTTTGCCCATGTTCGGTGTAGAGGCCTCAGTGGGGCTTGCTGCTAACACCAGATGTAAATGCATGATCGATAGTCTGCATTCAGTTTGGGATGTGTCAACTAGGCATTGAGACTTTGGTGTGATGCTTGTCATTGTTATAAGGCCGTTAGTCTGATTTCCGTTGTTACTGCAACTGAAGCTTGGAATTCGGACATCAGGATTGGTAGCTTGCGGTTTGAGGCTTCAGGACTTGGCCAGGGAGGTTCACTGGCTTCGGCTGAGGCTCCAAGCTCCAGAAGCAATTCAGCCTGGACCAGCTTCCGTAAGGCCTTCCCACTCCAGGCCTAAATGGGAGTTTCCGAAAATAGAGGACACTAATATAGTATCCTATATAATAGGATCCTTATTATAAGGACCCCAAAATAAGGTACCCCTAATTTTCGGAAACCCCCAAATCAAATCTCTTCAGTTCCTGCAATCCCGGAACCTGCGAAGCCCCCAACGCTCTGAGGCCCTCGCTGCATCCGCACCGCAATTCCTGGTCGCCTCTGGGATACCACGCAACGAGGAGGACGATGTTGAGTTCGATGATAATACATGTGTCTATGTTTATATATATATATACACATGTATGTATATACACACATACGCATCTGCGCACATAGGTACATACATACCTATGTATATATACATACATGTGTATATATATATATACACATACACATATACACATGCACATATACAGCATACAATTATGCATGACCAAACAGTCAATCAAACAAACAAAAACAAGCAAAGCAAGCAAGCAAGCTAACAGCCACGCACACACACACACATCTATATATATATATATATGGATATATATATATATATAACATACATGCATACCTACGAGCATACATGAATACGACTTTGTCAAGCATGCAGTTTGGAGCAGTCTCTGGTGTCGCTCCCGGGCATCCGTTCAACTTTGTTGCACGACTCACAAGCACTTACATTCCTCGCACGTTCCTGTCACCAAACCCTAAATCCTAAGCCCAGAACTCAACTCACTCTTAAACCCTAAATTCCGAGCCGTGAGGACAAAGCTGTTTTGAAATCTCTGCGGAAGCTCATCGCAGCTTTGGCATCGGAGATAGAGGCCGTGGAGGCGAGGCCCCACATTCAAAAGACGCCGAAATAGTTAGCAATATGATTCCCTTGTCATCCCTAAAAACAACTACAGTAGAACAAGCTGGTCTCAACACCCCCCGATAGTTTCTATAGCATAGTTAATGAGTTCTAATTATTAAACCCCTACATCCACCACCGCATTCTTTAGCTGGCCGTAAGCAAACCAGCCCGGAAGGCGACTACAGTAGCAGTTGGCAAAGCGTTTGTCAGCATGTTTGGGCAGGTGGATGCTGATGAGCTCCGGTCCCGGGCAAGCCCTTTAAGCAGGCGAGCTTTGCAAGTCCTGTTCCAGCACTCCGAAACCGAATTCGGGAGGCGTAGTGAGGTCGACAGCAGAGAGCCCTTCAGTCTCGCTCCTACATGCGAGTGCTGCTAGTGAGCTTGAGCCGATACGGTGGTGCTGGAATGCAAAATTGCCAAAGCCTATCTCCTAGCGATGCAGTTTGCCGAGCTGGGATACCTGGTATCTCTTAGGTCCTAGGTGTTACTAGGAAGACCTAGAGTAATAGAAATATCTTGTTTGATTTTCAAACGTCCTTATTAAGTTCACGGAGTCTGGGGCACAGGGTTTCGGAGCGTGGGCTCAGGGTGATTTGCATCTCAACTCCTCGATTCCTCAATGCTATAGTAGTCTGTGGCTATTGTGGCCCGTCATAGTAGGGTCCTATTCTACTTACGCCTACATAAGGTACGGTTTGTTTTGAGGAAACCCCCCATAGAAACTCTTGATGCGGTGAGAGCCAGGTATCTCAGGCTTCTCCTCAAGCAGATGCGTGCGAGGCCTTTTCTTTTCAACACGTCCTCAGATTCCTAAACGGATTTTGTACCTGGAGTGCACTTGGCTTTTACTGGTCTTGAAAGGGCCTTGCGAAGGCTTTTTGCGAGAAAGGAGGTCTGACTCAGTAGCTCTGCGGGTGACTGTTTCAATTTATGGGCTTATCAGACGGTCAAGGCTAGCTTACTTAGGCCAGGGTAGCCAGCAACAAGCTGTGACCCCCAAGCACACAGCTAGCCGAAACCAGCATGCAGAAAGCTGAGGGCTTGGATGTTCTAGCACTTAGGGCCCCCGGAGTCGAACCTTAAGGTCTTAAGCCACACGCCCTATAAACCCTATAAGGAAAGCTTGAGCACTGCAAGTTTCCAACTTCCCTGAAATGGCTTATGTGGATGTCCGGCTTCAGGGTTCAGCGCCGCGCTCTGGGTTCGAGCCCTGCCAAGCCTTAAACCCAGAATACTATGGGCCCCAAATGTAAGTCTCAGAAGCCCTATCTCCATCAATCGTTGACGACCTGAAGCGCTCGCCCCTAACCCAAGCCAGTAAAGCATCGCTAAGGATAAGCTTCAGATATGACTTCCCAAACATAAGATCCGTATCCTCAGCCGCAAACCGTACTTTCTCGCCAGAAATCATCCGGCGCTGTTATAAACCGCACAGGCTGTAAGCACCCTTAGACACATGCATATATATATATATACATGTACACATATACCTATCTATCTATATTAGCGATATATGTGTACGTATATGTATACATATATATATATATATACACACACATATACACACACACACACCTTTTGCATGTCCCGAAATGCCCTGAATTGTTCGGTACGTTGAGCCCTTAACAACCCCTGTCTAGCCCTAAAGGGGCCGCAAGCGTGCTTTTGAGCGAGGTAAATAAACCCCACATCCTCCACCCTATAAACGCTCAACCTTAAGAAATCTCGGAGGATGAACGACCTCGGGGCGCTGCAAGAGGCAGCTCAGGTTGCAGGGCTCCTTTGGGACGCGTCTCGGCGGGGATTCTGTGAATCGGGTTCAGGAGTGTAATTAGCGTTTTGGGGTTTAGGGTTTGGAGGTTTCCAGAGTTATGAAGTTGATAGGGTTTCTGGGTTGAAGCCGTTGTGGCTTGAAGAGTTGAGTTTGACGGTGCGCGGCGCTGCAGCGTGTAGGGTTTAGACTGAACGAGTTGTTTCTACAAGGCCTTATGAGGCCCAAGGTGTGGTGTCCGGGGTTGTAGGATTCTTCGTAGCAATCGAGAGCGTGTAGGACCGACCCCAGGAAGTGCTGTCGCATGGTCTCGCGCACGGTCCCTAAACCCTCAACCCCAAACCTTGAGATCCAAAGCCCGCAACCCTGAAACTCCATGCCCTTTCCCGCAACCGTCACCGCAACCCCCAGATCCTCAGGCACTGGACCAAAACCCTAAGCCCTCTCTCTACCCTTGGATGCAGCCTTGCATCAATAGGCAGCCCGAGGGCTTCAAGGTAAAGGGCTCGGGAGCAAGAAGCCTAAAGCTTACAAGCCCCTCTACGGTTTAGGTTCCCTACACCGTCTTTGGGGTTTCGGGCGAAGCTGCTAGGACTTATACGAACACTCCCAACAGAAAGAGACAAAGGTTTCAAGAAGATCAGCAGACTGCAATGGTACGGACACTTGATGCGCCAGTTTTTGCAAGATCAAGAAATGCCTCAAAGCCTAAACGACCTAAACCCTAAACCCTAAACCCTAAAACCCCAAACCCTAAACCCTAAACCCTAAACCGTTCTGACCCCGGGTCTCAGCGAGAAGGGACCTCCTTTCCCCAGGTTCGGCTCTTTGCGGTGGCGCTGCAAGCACGGTTCACGGCCGCCCTGCCCCCACCTCAGTCCTTGCTTTGAGGGTTTAGGGCTTAGGGATGTTCGGGGTTTAGGGGTACGAAACCCTCAACCCTAAACCCTAATACCGGTTTAGGGTGTTTGGGGGTTAGGGCTACGGTTCCCATGAGGGGGTCGGAAGATCCTTGGGCTGCTAGGGCATCAGGCTCGATTTTGTGATACTGGCTTAGGGTTTAGGGTTTAGGGTTTACTGCTTTGGGAACGAACCCTCATAGAAATCCGCGCTACACAAGCTTCAAAGGCACTTAGAGGAACCCGTATATGCTTGACAATTCTAAGGCTCCAAAGACTGGAGCAACGCTTCTCTGCTGCATCCCGAACATCTCGGAAGGCTCGCAAAACTGACAGATCGAAGCCCTAAGCCCGACCTTCACTTTGTACACAGATCACTTGGTTCGTCGTCATGGCGGAATCTGGTCAATGCGTCCATGGCTTGTATATTCAGAGCTCACTACTATGCCATCATGTTTCGGAATTTCTACAGGTATATGTGTCATTTTGTTTCGGAATTTCTACAGGTATATGTGTATATATAGGCATTTATTATGAACTAATGATATAGACTACTCAATTGCTCAATCCCATCATCTTTAAGTACAGATATATATATATATATACATACATACAAACTCGTACATATACTTATATGTAGATACGTATATATTTTAAATATCATCTTTGACTTCACATATAAAAGTATATATATATATATATTTATGAATGTTTGAAAATTCTCTAATAAAGCGGCGTCGTGCTGCTTGTTCGTGCCCATATACCGATAGGTCTAAATAGATTATTGGTCGTTTCAATACTCATGGACAGGTACAAACTATTTTTACCCAGAATATTGTGTCCCATGGGATCCTACGATATTAAATAATTGCCGCGGAATTGAAATTTTAGTGCTTCCACTCTAATATGATATATATATATAGATATATTCTATTTATATTGAACGGACTTGATTAATTTAGATTCAAATTTCAGAGAAGGACAATCTTATATTATATTTTAGAATATTCTCAAATTATAGATTTATATAATTCTTTATTCTTATATTTTATTTCTTCATGATATGGAAATATTATTCATTAATGATTTCTTTTACTTAATGATTTTATGAAAATTTTGATGAATATATTGATAATATTTTCAAAAAAGATTATATTTCTAATATTAATTATTCTACCGAGATTCGATATTTCATAATTTCCCTTTTTTCTATAATATTAAACCTAAAAAATTAAAATTTAAAAATATACTTAAAATATAAATTTAGAAAGAATTTAGCCCAAAAACTTAAATTCTTATCTAATTTATTTTTATTCATTCTTTATTCAAAATATATCTCGAAAAAGAAATATTTTAAACCTCAATTTATAAAGAATTTTTCTATCTGATTATTTTATATAATTGAATATCTTTAAGAATGAAGCTAATTCTATATTAAATCATATATATATATATAACGAAATTGTAAAAAATTGAATTATTAAATAATAATTATCGATTCTATTAGATTTTTTTTATTTATAATCATATTAAATATAAAAGACAGGTTATAGAAGAACAAGAATTCATATACAATTTCAATATTTTTGATTGATTGCGGTTTTTCCAATATTTTGATTAGAGAAGTCGCGAATAAATTTCTGGACTTGTCCAATTAGTTCTGATTTTAAATACGAATTCAAATATATTTCCGACATGATTTATAAATATTAATTTTTTAGATTCTTTTTCGGGCTTACCCACCCCGCCCCAGTCCCATACGCACACCAAGACACCATCCCACCCCAACCCCACCACCCACACGCACACCGACATTCTAGCAAGACAAATCTAATACCAATAATTTCCCGCATATTTAATAAGTCAGCAAAATATTAGAAATCTTCATATGATCTTTCTAAGTATTTCTAATAAAAAAATATTGGAACAGCTGTAAAAAGCCTAAGAAATAACCAAAAATTCGAAAAAAAATTGAAATCCTCGCAGGGGCGCTCTAAGCTTTTCTAATTAAAATATTGGAAAAGCTGCAATTAATGAGATTAAGTTCTTTAATGAAGAATCCAGAAGCAACCAAGGTCATGAGCATTTTCACGGCCCGGTCAATATTTTGATTGATTGCGGCTTTTCCAATATTTTAATTCGAAAAGTCGCGAACAAGTTTCTGGATTTTTCCAATTAATCCTGATTTTAAGTACGAATTTAAATATACTGCCGATCATAAATTTTATTATATATTAAGACTAATATCTGAAAAAATCATAATATTTCTTAATTCGAATTATTTTCTTTTTTCTCATCATCAATCAAAGCTTTTGAAATATAAGAAAGAAGATATATTAAGATTAATATCCGAAAAAAATGATAATATTTCTTAATTCGATTTATTTTCTTCTGTCTTATATTTCAAATATCTCTGATCGAATTTTCTGCTCTCATGAATTTTTTTAAGATAAGATTTCGTCGATTCTGTCATAAGATAATTTCTTTAAATCATCCGATATCTTATTCATCTTATTCAATTTGCTATGAATTTTCCGACGCCTCCCCAAGATATGTATTCTTATTCTTGGATTCTGCACTTGCCATTTACCCACCCA